GAGAAGCGGCGATGGAAGATGAAGATGAAGAAGAAGATTATGCATGATAAAGGAGTGTTTAAACTATCCATATCTTCAACAATACCATAAAACTTATGGCGATATAATTTTGGCTTCACAAAACTATCGACAAGGCTGTTCACAAACAATAATATTGCAGTGGTTGAATACCTGTACCTAATGAGGAAAAAGGATTCAAATCATGGATATCCAGAAGAGCAGATGCCAACTGAACGGCTTGAATTCTCATAAATCCTTTGTTGGTGCGGTGAAATATGCAAGGGTTCTGAAATAACGATTCCGGGTCCGATCTTTTCATAGACGAGAATGTGGATTTTTTGGTTATTGAAATCATCTAGGCATCTAAGGAATCTTCTATGGTACAAAAATATTTTGAAAGGATCCTCCAAAAGGTATTCCGATGTTCTTGATTATCACTTGGATTAACGTGTATGCCTTTCCGATATTAATATAACAGTTCGCAGTTGACTGGATAAATAATATTAAACTCCTCAGATTTATTTGATAACAGACTGCTTACTGAAGTAGATCCTCAGGTAAAGAAACTAAACTCGTATATTAACACAGAAAACAGATTCGAAACATGACAGAAAAGTGATCACATTCGAACAATTCTTGTCTGATGTAAAGACATGATCCACTGACTTATATCGATGGCACTGAGGCTTCTTCTGCACAAACAGTTTTATTTTATGAATATTAAACATGTTCTATTATTTGTATTTGAACACTTACGAAAAGTTCTTTATCGTGGTCGCCAAGAAGTCGTTTTTCAGCACAGATTTGAAAACTTTTGCTAGCTGCAATGAATTGAAAATTATAACTTTTCTGCATAAATCCATGTAAGAGATTACCTGTGGCTGGAGGTCTTCGTACAATCTTTTATATTGCCAAGAAGATGGATCCCTTAAAGCAATGTTCCACGCAATATCTTTGAACGAAAGACTCCAAGAGAAATAGTTGCGTGGAACAAGAGAACTGGAACCAGGCGAAGTTGCTGTTGTCTGTTCTGTTGTCGTTGTCGTTGTCGCCTCCGGCATTGGGTACTCCTCCGTTTCGAATTCCGTGATCAATTCTGTAGTTTTTATCGTAGTTGTCGTCGTTCTTGTTTGGTGCAATGGTCGAGTTATCACCTCATCAACCGGAATCTCTGAATGGCTCACATAGCGGTCTTCGTCAATGTGTCCACTAGGCGGCGTGATATAGGCAGTCATTGGCACGTTTCTAAGAGGTTCTATAAACGGGGTAGACTCAAACAGAGGTCCCTGATATTCTCCTTCATTGGATTCTTCTGACAGTCCAGATTTTGTAGATTTGGTTGAGTAAGCTTCGGTAGTAGTCGAAGTAGTCGTAGAAACAGTTGTCGTTGTACTGCTGGAGGATGTTCCCATCTTAGCCTGGTGAGCTAGCCATAACCTCTCAACTTCGCTGATTTCCTCATTTCGGTCTGCCGTTACAGTTGTCGTGGAGAAGGCAGTGGTGGACGATGCATCACTTTCTGGAGATATGTATTCACTAACGTTCATCTGTACAAAACGGGGATCAGTCGTAGATGTCGTGACTTTAGTCCTGTAAACCACGGTTGACGCAACGGTACCGATTCCTGTATCTTCAGGAGCAGTTGTAACCGATGACTGTGCCATGGTTTCCGTGGCAGAAGCTGTTGTATGCAGCACTGTGGTATACGACGGCGTATAAGCAGAGGTCACATGTTCAGGGTAGCTTCGCGACGATGACGTTGTTTGTTCAGCTCCAGGCACATCGTGTGCTTTCGAGGCACCCGTCGGCATAACATAAGACCGATTTACCTGACTGGTAGTAGGCACGTTTGGTCCGGTTCTGGCCATAGACGCCTCCTTCGCTTGAGAACCAGCCGTAGGAAAATCTATCGATGCAGGTAGTTTCGATACGGCGGGAACGAACGTAGGAAGAAGTGGTAAATCAACCTCAGCGCTGGTAAAATTATTAGAACTCATGTCTGGTGCTAGCGGCACCTTCGTACTCTCAGTGCTACTGCTAAAGTTCCATCTTTGCGGCGTAGGAAAATCAGGAAAGTCTACATCTTTGTTAGATAACGTTGAGATGGTGTTGGTGCTGTGATGATCCATAGGAAAAGGTCCAGGAGTGATAAAATTTTCAAGAGTCACAGGCTGAGTAACAGTGAACTTTCGAGCATTGTTCTGATCGTTGGCTTGAGGCAAGTTCGCCACCGTAGCGCTACCGCTTGTAGATTGGCTGTTCTCAGTAGAAGCGTAGAAATCATTTCGGTCTGAAAAAAATGCGTCCACCTCACTGTCGACGCTGCTCATGAATGACGGGGGGTTGGGAAAACTGTCAGTCTCATTCAGAGCACGTTCGGTGCTGTCATTCAGGTCTTCGTCGATCGCACTGTTGTCTGTAGTGTTTCGCAGCAGCCTTTCAGTCATTCGGCGAAGGAACTCATCCTCCAATGGATTTTTCGCCATGTCTTTGCGTTGCTGTAGGAATACCTTTGTGAATTCGTTGCTAAGCCGCTGTCGTATTTCTTCAGGTGAAGACGTGTTCGTGTCCTGCCTTAGGTGCAGCTTTTCAAAGTTCTTGAGAATCGCCCCAACAGTATCCACGATGTTTGCCACTTGCTCAGAACGTTGGAAAGTGAAGTTGTTGTTTTCCAATGAATAGAGTACTTGATTCATAGTATTAAGAAGCAATGTTATGTATTTGTCAGATATCATATAAGAAGTTCTGTTATGATCGACATGTTCCGAACGTTCGTTAACGGTAGACTCTCGAAGCTGTTTCACGTCGACCGGACGAACCGATTGCGGAAACGGTTCCATGCTAAATGGAGCTTTGCCTGACCGTTGATCAATACTTTTCTCATTAGGTAAGATTTTGGAGTCAGCGCGGCTCTTCGAAGTCACGTTTACCTCGTCTTGTATCGCCCCACTTTGAGGAACGGCTAAGAACTGCTTTCCAAAGGAAGACAGACCGCTTCGTCCGGCTTTGTCATTTTCGTCGACCAACGGAACTGATTTCTGGCCGCTTGATAATTCTAAGCAAAACATTCAGATTATTAATGCATTAGTTTTGCAACTGAAAAATCTTTACGGTGCATAAATAAATATGCCAAGTACATGATAAGAATTTTTCCAGTCGATGGCTTACTTTCTTGTTAAGAACACAACTACTTTAGCATACGTATTTCCTTGTGCAAAACATTCAGATTATTAATGCACTAATTTTGTAACTGAAAAATCTTTAGAGTGCATAAATAAATATGCCAAGTACATGATAAGAATTTTTCATGTTGATGGCTTACTTTCTTGTTAAGAACACAACTGCTTAAGCATGCATATTTCTTGTGTAAACTGTTTGCTTTCTATACGTAGTGCAAATTTTATACTTCATAGGCAGTTTGCAGCAATTCCATGGAGTGGAGGCGACCGCTTTTCTAAACTACATAACTTGGCCGCAGAAAACAGAGGTCAATGATGAAGAATTGGAGGGAACTTCATCCAGCAATGAATGAAAAAACGCTCATGACGATGTAAGTAGACCATTTATTAAAAGTTGTTTGGTCATAATAAAACGTCAAATATTTTAATTTATGAATGGATATTGAAAACACAGTGTTGGAAACTTCTACTGATTCAGGCTAAGGATATATTTTTAATGCTAATGAATTAGTAATCTGATATACAAAGTCAAAATTTAATTGCAAAAGTTTCGCCTGAATCACAGTGGTCTTCCTCAGGGCTAAATAGTACCACAGTACGCACAAAGAGATTTACATTGGCAAAAATCATCAGCACGAGAATTGAATGAGGCCTTAAAACAATTTCCATGTCTTTGATATATCATAAACGTTAACTTAGACATTATGCATTCTGGGTTATTCGCTATGATACACACTGATTTTTTCAGTAATTGTTTCCTGTGTGAAGAGAAAGAGAAATGATATAAGTTTGACTAAACAAATAAAGATGAAGAAAAGCAACTGGAGAGTGTATATGTGAAAGAGAAGAAGTAGAAGGCGGAGAAAGAACAGCAGAAGATGAGAAGTAGAGGGAAAGTAAGAAATGGATTCACGTACAAGGGCTATTTTCTCATATTCTTCTGCTCGTACAGCTACGCTATAGCATTTTATCCATTCTCTATGTAATTTCATATATTGCTTGGCTGTTCATCATTTGAACTTTAAGGAATAGAAGCGTGGTGCACAGTGCCGAAAAGGTTGGCTTTCGCAGGTGTCGGGTTCAGTGCCGGAGGAGGGAAAAATCTGTCTTAACTTCGAATTGAGTTGAGCAGATGATTTGCAACACACTGTGGGTGCCAAGCTGAAGTTGTTGTGGGTCGCCCATCATAGGTAGAACCGAATGGTCTCAGATAGTCGCTCCGATCGAGGTCGCTCACGATTTTTCCTTCCAAGATAGTTAAAAAATTACTCCCCAATGAAGGAAACAGGAGATGAAACATTACGCATTTTACAAAGCCGTTATCGTCTGTGGCTTTAAAATAAGGCATTGACGGCGGATGGCATGGAAACGGAGACCAGCGTTCCACCTTCATGAAAAGAATGGCGTCAAAAATACAGCCGTGATAAAAGTGTATGGAAGAGCGGCATTGCAACGGTTACAAACATTCATTACTCTCTTCTTTACGTACTGTAGGTTAACAACTGCCAAAGATCATGGGAATGCAGCGCTACAGTGTTCATTGTTCAATGAGGCATAGTCTACTAACGAGATGGCAAGACTAAAACACGCGGCCTCTCATACGGTTGCTTCGGTATTTACAACGTGTGCCATGATTTCCTAGTCAACGTTTCCCA